ATTCCATCTCAGAGGAAAGGCAGCAAGAGGGCACAGCAGCCCCCCTGGCTCTCCAGGGATCTAGCAGACCTTCTGAAGCTAAAAAGAAAGGCCTACAAAGGATGGAGGATGGGACTCACCTCCAAGGAGGAATATTCTGCACTAGTCCGGTCCTGCAGGAAGCAAACCAGGAAAGGCAAGGTCCTGCAGGGAACAAACCATGAAAGCTCCCTCCTGTTCCAGGTCCTGGCCAGAGCTGCAGCCCCACACCCCACTACAGGCACAGGAATCTTGCGGGGGGGACATGCCACCCAACCCCTCCAATGCACTTTCATTTACTTTCAGGAAGATTAGTGAGGTTTATAGTAAGTGACAGTGTAACAGAGACATATTTATTTTTATCCAAGCTAAAAGTGAGGCCACAGGACAGAATAGCATCAAGTATTTTTCAAGCTCTATCCCCTCAACCATAGACACAGACACATTAATGATACACCTCTGACAAAACTCTGTATGTTCACAATGGCTCCCTCATTTCCTGACATTTGCTTTCCAAGTTGTAGATTTACACGAATACAAATGAATGGAAAATGATTTCCATTCTGTCCACAGTGTGTCCTCTTTCCTCTGCTATCCATGGGGACACTCACCTCAAGTTTAGGTAGCTCTCTATGTAGTCCCTCTACAAAAATGAAAATGCTTGTCCCGTTCCAAAAAACAGCTATTTTTTCCCCTTTGTTCCCCTATGCATGCTGTCTTTTCTCCAGGGGCTCTGCTGCATATACAGTTGAAATGTCTCTTGAGTTTTAATCTTACCTGGTTTCTCTTCTGGTTCTTTCTTTTAATTGCCCATCCTCCCTGAATCTCAGTTTCTGAATAATATTTTACTATCTTTTATTCTTCTTACATTGCTCTACATTTCCATATTGCCCTTTTAATGTATTGCCGAAATGAGTTTTGATGGCAGTCCCCCACTGTATATTAAACATTTTGTTCTTTGCCACTGTTAGTTTCCTAAGCTGTACAGAATTTCAGACCGTTTCCTTTTAACTCATTCTTTATTTCTTCAAAGTTTCTTTTCCTGAAGTCCAGTAATTATTGTGCTACTTTTCTCACAGCCTCCACCAGCTTTTCAATCCTGGTATCAGCAGTTTGTCTGTATATGCTTTTAACCTTCACCTTGATCATATCTGGCTCCATTTCACCGATTAGATCTAAATTAGTCTCTGGCAATTCTTACAGCTCTCTACGCTGAGTTTGAAGAACTGCATCCTTCTTTAGAGCTCCCACTATTCTTTGCAGAGTAGCCTACTGAACAAATGGAACTGTCCTGTTATTGCGATGACAGGCTGCCAATAATAATAATAATAATAATAATAATAATAATAAATACTTTCTAACTTATCCAAAAATTGGATTATAGCAGCAGAGGGCCAACTGTAGCTATCACCAATGCCTTTGAGGTGCAAGTGGCATCCACCTTTATAAATCCTTTTCAGTCTTGCCCATGAGCCACGAAGCAGTTTTATCCAGCAAGTAACAGACTGTAACTTGGAAGTAGGCAACCTAACAGACTCAGCCCAAACAAGACTGAGCAATAGTGCTTACAGGATAGACGAAACAATGACAGGAAATAGTGGAAATTATGCAAGAAGCCCTGGACCAACGGGGGTCACTTTTGCCAACCCTGTTCCAATCTAATAAAGTTGTCCTTCTGCTAAAATTTCATTCATTGAAAAGGTTCCACCTGGGCTGCAGTAAATGGGCATCCTTTAACATTCTCCCAGCCCGCCCAGCCTTTCCAAACATTCCTCTCTCACTTCAAAACTCAGGAGGCAATTTACCATTCTGCTCCAAATTACATGCCTCAGAGACCAGCCCCTTTTTCTATTGTGCAACTTCTCTTCAGTTGCTTAACAGACCACAATTTCTCAATGTCTCAGTCTATTCTTTCCAGAATCTATCCAGAGCACCTTCTGGTAAAGATAAAACTGAACAACTGCATAAGAATTTCACTTATTTCTTGGCAAATGTTTGCCATCTTCCTGTTCTACCTCAATTTTGCTTCCTCCATTTCTTAGCATGCATGCATACATACCTGCCCTTGTAATTCCCTCCAAATATTATACTTCACTGAGGTGTTGTCCTTCCTAGTTTCTGCTTGGCAAGCAGAGAAAAACACTAGATGCATTCTACACATGAGCTCTTATTTGACATTCAAATATTTGTATTTCATATAACTTCTTCCAGTCTTTAAGCCTGCCAAAGACAGATGCCAAATTGTCTGAACCATAAGGGCTCCATGGAAAATGAAGAGTCCAATCTCCTCAAAAAAAAAATCTAGGATTAGCTTTATAGTTATAAGTAACGGAATAACACAAGCAGGGAAGATAGATAAAAAGCATAATCCACAAAGAGCTTTCCTTATCCTGTTATCAGTAAAGTTACATACACATGATGCTCTGCCACATAACCAAGAATTCATCATATTGCACACTTGTCATCTCTGTATTTATTTCACTAGGAGCATTAATTACATCAAGACTTCAGAAAGCCAGGTTATATATTAAGCTATCAATGAAGAATTAAAATGTCATGGAGACAACAGCACTACAATTAAATTTTCCCCAAGTCATCCAATCAGATATAGCATCTAATTTTCAGAGAAGTTTCTGCATTTCAGTTAGTTTTCTAGTTCAACTGAAAGAAGCTGCACAAAGCTAAGGAACTTGCCCAAAGCTTCAGTGATCAAGTCACAGGCTCAGCAGAAACCTTAACCCAAGACATTTTAGGTTACAACTCCTTCACTATAGTTATCAACAGTTATTTTTCATAACAGAAGTTGTTTGGAGGCACTGTTGCTTCGTTATGTGAATAAGATTTCAAGATCCCTATAGAAGTGAAGATGCAGAGCTCTTACCTATCTGGAGAGGGTCTTTGACAGCCCTCATTCGAAACAGTTGCTCCCCCCGCTGGAATTCATCCGCACTGCCATTCGCCAAGCAGGAGTACAATCTATGAGAAGCAAACATTATTCCCTTTCAAATACAATCTTTAAAAGGGGGAAGGGGGGCAGGAACACTGAACTGTACCTTATTCTCAGTCCATGGAGTCAAGAAACCTATATGGTATGACTGGAACAAAAACTGCTAGCTGCTTTGAGTGTATAAAGCATAGTTTTAGCCTAAAGAAACTACAGAGCATATGGAGATGTGGATAAAATGCGAAATGGTTATTGTGGTGGGAGAGATGCAAGGGCCAGAGAGTAAAGAACTCTAGCTCCTTTTCTTTACAGGCTGAAGCAGTGCTATACTCCCTGCCTGAGACAAAGATGTTCTATTTTGAAACTGAACCCTTCAATCTGGCCACCAGTTACTCACAGATCTTTGTACTTTCTCCACTTTTGCTAGAAATGTGGGGGTTTGTTTTTTGCCAGATGAAATGCTATTTAAGGGTTGTGCCACCTATTTATCACTGATGTGTTTGGTTCCAAAAACATATGGGCTTTTAAAAAGTTAAAGTCTTTGCCAACCAAATTCTTCCCAGCATGTCAAAAGTTCGTTTCCTCATTTGAAACCTACAGTCACAGCCAACTGAGTCAAAAGGACTATTTATGAACTACTGTTTGTATGATGCTTTTATCATGTGAGCTGCACCCTAAGAAGCATATTAAATGGTTACGCAGGCTTCACCCCAAAGCAATAGATTTTTGTAACTTTAAAAAGTTACTTGAGAAGAAAGAGAAATCTCTCTGGAATAGTCTGTTGACAACTGCAAAGTAGGAGTGAAAGTGGTGACTCTTTCAAACCTATGTTCATGGCAGCTGTGATGTTACTGTTAAGAAAGCCAGAAAGGCTGTAGTTGCTATTCTAATATTTTGGGAGTTAATAACAGTCTCCAATTTTGTTGTGGTAAAGTTACCTTTATTTTTTTGCACAACTATACACCATTATCCTTTTTTGGGATACTACAAGAAGTGTGACTTAAAACTGAACTGTTTCACCTTTACGCATCTCTTGTACCATGACTTTGTTCACAAGAGTCATAGCCCAGATATGACATGTACAGCCTGGGTGTATAAACATTAGCTTTTTGAGAAATGTCAATGTAAGGGGTCTGAAATACCTAATTCTTTCACTAAAAACTAACTTTATAGGCTCCTTCCTAGCTTCCAGAGTCACTTGTTCCAAATACATACCATGACTCCCTCTACATTTTAGGGAACAGCAACCAAATACTTAATGAAATTCCCCATCTTTGCATCTTGAAAGCAGGTTGTGGTATGGTTCTTATGCTCTCACACCAAGTTAGCTGTCTACATTCCCCCACAGTCCAACTTTTCCAACTACTTTAACCCAGCTAGAGACCCTTATTGAATGGGGATTTCCTCTGTGTATAATGAATGGTCATGCTTGTCCAGGTATGAAAAAGGATAGTTATTTCTCAAGGAATACAATGAGCACTGTCTTCCTAGACAGTCAACAGGATTGGAGTGTAGCTGTAAAAGCCTTGCCTTCAGAGGGTTCTGGATATGCAGTGAATGCACATGTGCATGCAACCCACAACTGGAGAACTTTAGATAAAAGCTTGATAAATTCAGAAATCAGAACAAAAGCAAAAAGGTCTCTAGCCAACTAAATTACAGATTCCATTTAAAATGGCCATCTGCTTGCTCCACGTGTGTTCTGGTCTCGCAGATCCTTGAATTGCTGCAACTAAAAGGCCCATGTAAACTCAAGTCTTCTATGTTAGCTGTCACCACACAGGAAAGATCTGGGAGTCATTGTGGACAGTTTGCTAAAAACACCAGCTCAGTTCTCAGCAGCCATCAAAAAAGGCAAATAAAATGTTAGGGATTATTAAGAAAGGAATTATAAACAACACTGAAAGTATCATCATGCCCCTTTTAAATCCATAGTGTGTTGACACCTTGAACAATGTGCTGAATTCTGATCTCCACACCTCAAAAGGATATAGAACTAGAGAAGGTACAACAAAGGACCACAAGGATGGTTAGTGGTAAGGAGGACCTTCCATATAAAAGGAGAGACTAAAGAGACTTAGCCTATTCCATTTAGAAAAGATGCTCCAAGGGAATATGATAAGGGTTTACAAAATACTAAGCAGTAAAGAGAAATAGTGATTTGTTATTTACTCTCTCACAATACAAGAACTAGGGGTCCCCCCCCAAAAAAAAGAAACCTAGTAGGTAGTAAGCTTAAAATTAACAAAAAGAAACTTTTTCACATGTCATTAAAATATGGAATTCATTGCCATGAGATGTTGTGGAAGCTGATGGTTTATCCAGATTCAAAAAGGAACTGAACAAATTCTTGGAGTAAAGGAGCATCATTAGCTACTGAGAATGGGAATACAGCCTCTGAATTGGAACTTCCTAGACCTTAAATACTGAAGACTAAAAGCTAGAGAGGAAGGGGGGGGGGAGCGGGGGAACCTGGTCATACCCAGTTCACTCTATCACCGTGCAACACAGGATACTGGACAAGATGGACTTACAGTTAGGGACCTACTTAGAGTTTCGCAGATTTCACAGAAACCACAAAATCCAGGACTGTCTCTGAAATCAGCAAAAAAAACAGCTTAATAAAAACAATATGTTGGCTCCCCAACAGGAGCCAGCAGTCCTTGCTGCCAGGACAGGAAGGTGCCAACTGGCAGGGCAGCAGGAAGGGCAGCAGACAAGAGGGTGGCTTCCCCTTCATCCCTCCTCCCCCCGCTGAGGCCTCCGCGGCAATAAGCGCAGGGGGGCGGGGCTGCATGAAAAGGCAGCTACCAGTCAAGATTGCAGTGCTCCCCCCTCCCCTGGGGCCTCTCTGCCAATCAGCACTGAGGGGGTGTGGCTTCTCCACCAATCAGTGCTGAGGTTTGTGACTGCTGCAAAACGACCACACAATAAGAACTTTATGCCAGAATCAACCTGCAAAAACAGATAAGTTCTCCCACACTTTACACTACCTATCGTCTGACCCAGTAAATAGCAATTCTTATGTTCTTTAGGATTTCAGACCCCTTGGGTTCTGCCTCTTTAGCAAAAAAGGTTCAAACCAGAGAACAACCTACACAAGAACATGCCTGAGCAACAGATATGAACAATGCCAGGGAATGCATGGACACCTAATCTGCATAGCAAGCGGAGCCTGTTTCAAAGCACAAATGCAGTGGAAGCAATCTCTATTACCTGATATCCTCCTCATTCTCTGGGAAGCTCCAGAAGGCGATCCGAAGCTGCAGCTGTTCAGGCACTGGTGGGTAGACTTTCTCCACCACCTCAAATGGAATGTGAAATGCTACCTGCTTTGCAGACAACTCCACCAATGGGATCACCAGCCCATCTAACAAGACAAGAAATGTTAAATGCAATTAGCTATACGGAGTGTCAGACTAACTGGAGGCTGAAAAGGAAAGGGGAGATAAACTACAGGGTTTATTCTCCTCTTCTTCCCATCAAGTTGAGAAAATAGTTCAGGAAATGGTATCAAAAGCTTTTCCTGAATTGGTCATCTATCAATTCAGTGTCTATTGGTAGCCACACACTGAAAGATATACATTCGTAGATGACAATGTGTTTGCTAGGAAGAGTAGTCAGCTGGCCCCACGAGACCTCAGTGACTCAGAACCTCTGCTACTTGGGAATGCTGAAATCACATAAAACTCTCTCAAGCTAACCAATACATACATTTTCACTTATTACAATAGAGCAGATAACATCCCAAAGTAGGTACAGCTTTTTTTTTTTTTTTTTTT